GCAGCCGAATCCGGAGCGGCCCGCGCTCTGCAGGTGCTGCTCCGCGAGGTTTTTTCCGCCGAGTCCGAGGCCGCTGCCGACGCGCTGCGACTTGCCGCATTTGAGGGCCAGGCCTCCTGCGTGGAAGTTTTGCTGGTCGCCGGAGTCGACGCCAATGCGATCAATCCGCAGAACGGCACTTTCCCGTTGCTGATCGCAGCACAACTTGGCCACGTATCTTGCGTGGAGCTGCTCCTGAAAGGGGGAGCCGAGGCTGCACAGGTGAAGTCGCAGAACGGCGCTTTCCCGCTGCTGATGGCAGCAGAGAATGGCCATGCATCTTGCGTGGATCTGCTCCTGAAAGCGGGAGCCGATGCTTGTCAGGTGGATCCGCAGGACGGCGGTTTCCCGCTGCTGATGGCAGCACAGCATGGCCATGCCTCTTGCGTGGATCTGCTCCTGAAAGCGGGAGCCGATGCTTGTCAGGTGGATCCGCAGGACGGCGGTTTCCCGCTGCTGATGGCAGCACAGAATGGCCATGCCTCTTGCGTGGATCTGCTCCTGAAAGCGGGAGCCGATGCTTGTCAGGTGGATCCGCAGTACGGAGGTTTCCCGCTGCTGATGGCAGCACAGAATGGCCATGCCTCTTGCGTGGAGCTTCTGCTGAGAGCTGCCATGTTCTCGCCGGAGCAGCTGCAGAAAGCGGCTGCAAAAGCAGAGGAGCGCGGCCACGCAGAGCTCGCCGAGCGACTTCGTTCGCTGTGTGGTGCTGCATCACCGCCGAAGCTTCGGCTCACCTAATGAAAGATCACCTGCATCGCGCATGCTGCCCGCGTAATTTTAGCTTCTTGCCGCGGCGTCTAGCTTCACGTTGCTGATCTTTGGATTTCTCGGCTCCTTCCTGATCGGTGCTAACAAAGCTCGCTGCAGGCTTCTTTCAAGGGTTCACCGCGACGATGACGACAAAAATCCAGATAGCGCGGAAGATGAGATCTTGCATAAACCGGCGGCTGAGTCGCCCTTTTTGCGTACCGACCTGCATCGCTGCTGTAACATCACTGTCTGTGCGCGTGCTAAGTTTCGAACTCAGCGCTGTTGACGGAGCTTTATGTGGATTTTCATGATTCGGGGACCTTCGTCTTGCTTCTCTTCGGCTTGCTCGGACGGTTTGTGCTGCAAATTGTGCCGCGTGCCCAGGTCATCGAATCTCGTGCCGTGCCGGAGCCTTCGCACGCAGGCCGCAAGCTCGGGGCCCGTGCTCTGCTTCTTGGCAGAAGATCCCTTTACTTTGACGCTGGAGGTCTCAGGCAAAGGCGAGGTGTAGCCGCTTCGCTTGCGCTGCGATCGCCGAACTCGGAAGCCCGGCAACTCCCAGAGAGCCCAAGATCCTGAGACCAAGATCCTGCCCGAAGCGGAAAAGTCTGGAGCTCCGGGGCTCTGCAGGGCTGCAGGAAGAACCAAGGAAATTCTGAGCTCTGAGTTCTTTGTTTAAGGAGTTTAAGTTTATAAGTTGCCATGATAGGGATCAAAATAGATAGTGACTAAATTGGTGAATAATATATGATTTCTTTGGTATGATAGAATAAATTAGATCCTGTATAAGTCTAGCGTCCCCGAGGCGGCAGCCGAGCCTGTTTCTGGGCCTCATCGGATATGGGAGTTTCCGACAATGGAGGTACCGTAGTTCGGGGTCCTCCAACCCCGCACCCCGAAACCCTAAACCCTAGACGCTTAAAAATCTTCAACCCGAAGCCAAACCTTAAACCTTAGCAGAGGAAATCTGCAAGAAGCGACGCCCACCATGGGCGTCGCCGCGACGGCGGAGAACGTGCACCAGGCGCTGCGAGCTGTCTTAGGAGGGGCCCGGAGCTCGTCGTTTTCGGGTTGAGGGTTTAGCATGTGGCACTTAAGGTTCAGGGTTTAGGGCTTTCTCTAAAAGCTTTCGATCTGCTGTGTTACCTGAAGCCTTAAGTGTGCTTTGTCCCAAAGGCCGCTACAAGCCGCAGGAATTCCCAACCCGAGCCCTTAAGTCCCTCCCTAAACGCTGAACCCTAAAGCCTAAGCCCTAAACCCTAAACCCTAAACCCTAAACCCTAAATCCTAAACCCTAAACCCTAAACCCTAGACCCTGGACCCTGGAAACGGTTCTCATCCTCGCCAGGCTGAGGCCACGCCTACCTCAGAGAAGGTTGCAACGCAACAGACAGCCGTGACCCCAGCGAAGAGATGCTATCGCTTGAGGGTTTAGGGTTCAGGGTTTACGGTCGGGTTTACGAAAAAGAAGCGAGTATTCTGAAAGGATTTCGCAGGTCTCTATACCACAAGTAACTTATCAGAAGCCCAAAGGAATAGTAAACAGTGAGACTGCTACAGTTACAACAGTGTGTGGAGGTTTGCTGTGTAAGGACGTTCGGATATTTGGCCGAAGCTTGTCAGACTGGCGATCGCATTCTTTGGAACGTTACACTGCGGATCCTCGTGCAAACAACCTACTGCATTGACTATTGAAGCATTGGTTTTGTTTTCATTGCGGCCGCACGGGGGGGAGAATTAAAGTCGTCCGCGCCACTCGCGCCACTCGCTCCACTCGCGCCACTCGCTCAGTTCAAGGAAAGAGTGGAACAGGTAACGTACAGGGGCGACTGGCGCGAGTGGCACGAGTGGAACACGCTTCTAGTGGAACGACTGGCACGATTGGAACGGTCGGAGTAGTGGAGTAGCTAGCCCTTAAATTATACAGACCCGACTCTCAACATCCCAAAACCTCGTTCGTGCCACTCGCGCCACTCGCGCCACTCGGGCCACTCGCGCCACTCGCGCCACTCGCTCCACTCGCTCCACTCGCGCCACTCGCTCCACTCGCGCCACTCGCTCAGTTAAAGGAAAGAGTGGAACAGGTATCGCACAGGGGCGAGTGGCACGAGTGGAACACGCTTCTAGTGGAACGACTGGTACGATTGGAACGGTCGGAGTAGTGGAGTAGCTGGCCCTTAGATTACAGACCCGACTCTCAACATCCCAAAACCTCGTCCGCACCACTCGCTCCACTCCCACTCGCTCTAATCAGTGGAACAGGTAACGAGTGGAGCGAGTGGAGCGAGCGGAGCGAGTGAAGCGAGTGGAACAGACAGATTAGCGCCCCCCAATGCCTGCAAAAAGGCGTTTACAACCCATCTTGTTCGACATCTAAACCTCAAAGCACAAGTGTTTACCTCGATGCTGTTCGACATCTATGCCTCAAAGCGAGCGTTTACCCCGATCATGTTCGACATCGATGCCTCAAAGCAAGCGTTTACCCCAATCTTGTTCGACATCTATGCCACAAAGCACGAGTGTTTACCCCGATCCTGTTCGACATCTATGCCTTAAAAAAAGCGATTACCCCGATCCTGTTCGACATCTATGCCTCAAAGCACGAGTGTTTACCCCGATCCTGTTCGACATCTATGCCTTAAAAAAAGCGATTACCCCGATCCTGTTCGACATCTATGCATCAAAGCAAGCGTTTACCCCGATCTTGTTCGACATCTATGCTTCAAAGCACAAGCGTTTACCCCGATCTTGTTCGACATCCATGCCTCAACTGAAGTGTGTTCCTTACCCCGATCTTGTTCGCTTCTATGCCTCAAAGCAAGCGTTACAGTACCCAGATCTTGTTCGAAATCTGAGCCTCAAAAGCACAAGTGTTTACCCCGATCCTGTTCGACGCTTATGCCTCAAAGCAAGCGTTTTAAGTGTCGGCGTAGATGCCGAACAGGACCGGGGTAAACACTCGCTTTGAGGCATAGATTCGGCATAGATGTCGAACAAGATCGGGGTAGGATAGGTGTCGAACAGGATCGGGGTAAGCACTTGTGCTTTGAGGCATAGATGTCGAACGAGGTCGGATAGACGTCGAACAAGATCGGGGTAAATGCTTGCTTTGAGGCATAGATGTCGAGCAGGATCGGGGTAAACAATTGTTTTTTGAGGCATAGATGTTGAATAAGATCGGGAAAAACACTTGTGCTTTGCGGCACAGATGTCGAACAGGATCGGGGTAAGCGCTTGCTTTGAGGCATAGATGTCGAACAAGATCGGAGCAAACACTTGCATTGAAGTACAGGTGCAGAATTGGATCGGGTTAAATACTTGTGCTTTTGAGGCATAGATTTCGAACAGGATCGGGGTAAACGCTTGCTTTGAGGCATAGATGTCGAACAGGATCGGGGTAATCGCTTTTTTTTAGGCATAGATGTCGAACAGGATCGGGGTAAACACTCGTGCGTTGAGGCATAGATGTCGAACAGGATCGGGGTAATCGCTTTTTTTAAGGCATAGATGTCGAACAGGATCGTGTTAGTGCTTTGAGGCATCGATGTCGAACAAGATCGGGGTAAACGCTCGCTTTGAGGCATAGATGTCGAACAGGATCGGGGTAAATATTGTGTTTTGAGGCACAGATGCGAACAGGATCGGGGTAAACGCTGGCTGTGAGGCATAGATGTCGAAGAGGATCGCGGTAAACACTTGTGCTTTGCGGCATAGATGTCGGACAGGGTCGGGGAAAACGCTTGCTTTGAGGCATAAGCGTCGAACAGGATCGGTGTAAACACTTGTGCTTCTGAGGCTCAGATTTCGAACAAGATTGGGGTACAATAACGCTTGCTTTGAGGCATAGATGCGAACAAGATCGGGGTAAGGTAAACGCTTGAGTTGAGGCATGGATGTCGAACAAGATCGGGGTAAACGCTTGTGCTTTGAAGCATAGATGTCGAACAAGATCGGGGTAAACTCTTGCTTTGAGGCATAGATGTCGAACAGGATCGGGGTATTCGCTTTATTTAGGCATAGATGTCGAACAGGATCGGGGTAATCGCTTTTTTTAAGGCATAGATGTCGAACAAGATCGGGGTAAACACTCGTGCTTTGTGGCATAGATGTCGAACAAGATTGGGGTAAACGCTTGCTTTGAGGCATCGATGTCGAACAAGATCGGGGTAAACGCTCGCTTTGAGGCATAGATGTCGAACAGCATCGAGGTAAACACTTGTGCTTTGAGGTTTAGATGTCGAACAAGATCGGTTGTAAACGCCTTTTTGCAGGCATAGATGCAGAACAGGACCGGGGTAAACACTCGCTTTGAGGCATAGATTCGGCATAGATGTCAAACAAGATCGGGGTAAACGCTGGCGTCGAAGCATGGATTTCGAACATGATCGGGGTAAGTGATGTCGAACAAGATTGGGGCAAACACCCGTGCTTTGATAGGTGTCGAACAGGATCGGGGTAAGCACTTGTGCTTTGAGGCATAGATGTCGAACGAGGTCGGATAGACGTCGAACAAGATCGGGGTAAATGCTTGCTTTGAGGCATAGATGTCGAGCAGGATCGGGGTAAACACTTGTTTTTTGAGGCATAGATGTTGATCGGGGTTTAGGGTTGAGGGATCCTGTTCGACACCTATCAAAGCACGGGTGTTTGCCCCAATCTTGTTCGACATCACTTACCCCGATCCTGTTCGACATCCATGCTTCAAAGCCAGCGTTTACACCGATCTTGTTCGACATCTATGCCGAATCTATGCCTCAAAGAGAGTGTTTACCCCGGTCCTGTTCGGCATTTATGCCTGCAAAAAGGCGTTTACAACCGATCTTGTTCGACATCTAAACCTCAAAGCACAAGCATTTACCTCGATGCTGTTCGACATCTATGCCTCAACTCGAACGTTCACCTTACCCCGATCTTGTTCGACATCTATGCTTGAAAGCACGCGTTTACCCAGATCTTGTTTGTCTTCTATGCTTCAAAGCACGCGTGTACCCCGATCTTGTTCGACATCCATGCCTGAAAGCAGGCGTTTACCCCGATCTTGTTCGACATCTATGCCTCAAAGCACAAGTGTTTATCCCGATCCTGTTCAGCATCTATGCCTCAAAACACAAACTTTTACCACGAATTTGTTCGACATCTATGCCTCAAAGCAAGCGTTTACCCCGATTCTGTTCGAAATCTATGCTTCAAAAGCACAAGTATTTAACCCGATCCAATTCTGTACCATTACTTCAATGCAACTGTTTGCTCCGATCTTGTTCGACATCTATGCCTCAAAGAAGGCGTTTACCCCAAACCGGTTCGACATCTGTGCCGAAAAGCACAAGTGTTTTTCCCGATCTTATTCAACATCTATGCCTCAAAAAACAATTGTTTACCCCGATCCTGCTCGACATCTATGCCTCAAAGCAAGCATTTACCCCGATCTTGTTCGATGTCTATCCGACCTCGTTCGACATCTATGCCTCAAAGCACAAGCGCTTACCCCGATCCTGTTCGACACCTATCAGAGCACGGGTGTTTGCCCCAATCTTGTTCGACATCACTTACCCCGATCCTGTTCGACATCCATGCTTCAAAGCCAGCTTTTACCCCGATCTTGTTCGACATCTATGCCGAATCTATGCCTCAAAGCGAGTGTTTACCCCGGTCCTGTTTGGCATTTATGCCTACAAAAAGGCGTTTACAACCGGTCTTGTTCGATGTCTAAGCCTCAAAGCACAAATGTTTACCTCGATGCTGTTCGACATCTATGCCTCAAAGCGAGCGTTTACCCCGATCTTGTTCGACATCGATGCCTCAGGAAAGAGTGGAACAGGTAACGTACAGGGGCGAGTGGCACGAGTGGAACACGCTTCTAGTGGAACGACTGGTACGATTGGAACGGTCGGAGTAGTGGAGTAGCTGGCCCTTAGATTACAGACCCGACTCCCAACATCCCAAAACCTCGTCCGCACCACTCGCGCCACTCGCTCCACTCCCACTCGCTCTAATCAGTGGAACAGGTAACGAGTGGAGTGGAGCCAGTGGAGCGAGTGGAGCGAGTGGAGCGAGTGGAGCGAGCGGAGCGAGTGGAGCGAGTGGAGCGAGCGGAGCGAGTGGAACGAGTGGAGCGAGTGGAGCGAGTGGAACAGACGGATTAGCGCCCCCCAACGCCGACACTCTTTTTGTTTTTGTCGATTTGGGCGTTGCTGCAACTCATACTATTTGCAGGGCAACACGTATTACGCTGCTGTGCTTGTCGCCTTGTTTTAGTTCCACAATACATAGGGACCTCAGAAATTGCCTACGCCCCAGATAGAATTTCAATCAGTCGGGCAAAAAGCGGGAATTCCCCAACTCCTAAGCCTAAATCTACAGTCTAACCCTAAACCCTGCCACGCGGGCCCGTCCTTGCGAAGTAGGAGGCAAACAAAAGCTAAGTCACACCCCTGCTCCACTTTCAGCCTTGATGCCGGCACGTTTGCTACCAGGAGGGCTTGATCAAGCCAGAGGACCGGGTGGTACGTGGAAGAGCATTCCATTCCGTCTGGGCTTGTGCATAGAATGCAGTCTGATATGCAGCACTGTATTCTAGGGTTGCTTGGGAGAGTTTAGGGGCTGTGGCATTTCGAGAGTAGAGGTTCAGGTTGTGTCAGAGCTTATGAATCTTATTATTACTATTCTTATTATTCTTATTATTCTTATTATTCTTCTTCTTATTATTAATATTATTATTATTATTAGTATTAGTATTATTATTATTAGTATTAGGTAGTATTAGTATTAGTATTAGTATTAGTATTATTATTATTGTTATTATTATTATTACTATGGATAGGAAAGTCGGGCTTCGGGCTGCCCTGGGCTCTCGTCGCAGCGCTTCTTGAACCGAGGCCCACAGTTTCTGAAACCCAAGGCCTACGTGCGCCCCACCCTGAGCTACTACGCCCCACTGGGGCGTAGGGTCAGGGTGTATAAGGTTAGGCTTTAGGGTGCTAGGGTTGCTGTTCCAGTGTTGTTGGCTTCAAGCTTTTTCTGCAAGGGGTTTGGGATTTCGCGGCTTGCTTTTCTGTGTTTAGCAAGGATCGCCTTAGATCCGATATATCCTCATACAAACTCGCCAAAAATCCTAAACCCTCAGCTACACCTTGAAGTGAGCTCAGAGGGGCAGCGATGGCACCTGGGGTCAAGCACAGATAAATTAAGGCAACCGTTGGCAGCTTGTGTTTTGTCTCGGTTCCTGCCTCTCTCCTGCTGCGTTCTACTGGATGTGGTTGGTTCGCATCGCGGAGCCGGTCTGAACCCAATTGCCTGAACTCTAAAGCCGAAAAGGGGCTGCAGGAACCCATCGGGCTTTGTTGCGTCTGGACAGGATGCTGGCAAGATCACCACCAGGGACAAGAACAATAACCTGCTCGGCATTGCAGCTCGAGGCGCCATACTTCCAACGCTTCTGGTGCCTTATAGCCCATCTGGAACCCCAAAATCGCATAATGAGCCAGCGCACATCGTGGCAGTCTGCCGTGTCTGTTGCATCCTCGACAGTTTGCCCGCCATTTCGACCTTGAGCCGTAATTTCGGGACCACCTCGCATGAAAACCGCAGTATGCAGGCCTATGTTAGAGGGCCCATGCCTTCGGCTTGAGATTTCTTTCGTGGCTCGCGGGTACTCTGCTTTAAGCTGTTCTCTGTTCTTTCGTTTACAGTTTCTTTCATGGGGATCTCCAAAACTATATTTGTCGCTTGGGTTCCAAGGGGCGCAGAGGTTCCATACCATGCCATCGGGTGATTTGGGGTTTAAGGGGCAGCGGCTTCCAGGATCAGCCCCCCTCCCCCTGTCGGGCTCGAAAGCCCCAAAGTCCACACCCAAGTCGCGTTTAGCCAGTGTTTCATGAGACAAACCCCGATTGCTTAAGGAATCATCATCTGCGTTTCCCACGTACAATGAGCCCGCCTGAATCCTAAAGCCCCCCTGAATTTCCTAAACCTCAAAACTCAGAAACCTGAAGCCTAAAGCCATGCGCTGCAGAAACTTGCCGTGAGCCCTAAGCCCCACAAACTCTAAGCCCTGAATCCCAAACCCCACTGCCCTAAACCCCTAAACCTGAACCCTTGAATCCCAAACCCCACTGAAAAAAACCAAAGCCCAAGTTTCCAAAAGATCCTAACGACGGAGACCTCATGCAAAGGATCCCCTTTATCTTAAGGTTTAGGGCTCAGGGTTTAGGGTGTAGTATACCAATATCGCCCGACAAGAACTCCTCAAGCCCGTATGGGTTTAGGGTTTAGGGATATATGTGCCCTATCAGAGCCCGATAGAAACCCTATGAGAACCCCAAGGCCATCAAGACCCACGACTGGGAGCGGCCGGAGCTCCAGCTGTTCACCGGTGCCAGCAACCAGGCACTTGCTTCAAACTTCGGGAAGCGTACAGTGTCTGACTATCATGTACCTGGATCCATATGGCGGGCAGGTCCGCGCTCAGCTTGAACCCTCTAAATACTGATGAGCCGAAAGTCCAAAGCAATATTTGAAAAGCCCTTTCTACAAACCCCAAGACCTAAAATCCGAAACCATAGCTCTCACATTGTTTGGCGAGTGTAGTCCTTCGCTGGGAGGTTTTCGGAAGCTTACAACTACATGACAGTCTGGAGCATTTTTCCATCTCCTACATCTGATGCGCTTTACGCCTAAATCCTACGTCCCAGCTTGCACAAACCCGCCATGTCAATAGTCGCAGCAACGATGCCCGAAATAAAACTCTCCGAGAGGCCCTTCTTCCGATGAGGGCTCCTGATCTGACGCGTCCTCTCCTCGGGGCGGGTTGGGGATTCGAGCTTCAGGGCCCAGCACCCTCCGCTCTAAGACTCTAAGATTGCATTGCCTGTTTGTGTGCTCGTATTTCGTTTCAGGGTGTCCGGGTTAAAGAGGCAGAACCCCCACGGCTGTTAGAAAAGAATTCCGGATTGAAGTCGAAGTTGAAGTCGGGGGTGCTTGGTTCGGAGAGCGTTTCTCCGGCATCCGTTTTGTGGCTCAGGGTCTGCGACAGATCCCTGGTGAGGCTGCAGCCTCGTGACAGACGGCCAGAGCAGCCTGAATTGAGATTTTGTTTGGGAGCTTCGGACATACTCAGTTTCTCTTTTCCTGTGCCGATGGCGGCGCCGAGAGGGTCATCTGAAGGGATTTCGCAGCGTGGCCAAGTAGGGCCGAGCCCAAGTTTGCTGGAGCGAGGCCGGCAGCTGAAAGCCTCGGATCGAAAGCTCTGGAGCCCGCAATCCGGCAAGGCAGGCCGAGTCTCGCATTTGCAGCTCTTTTTTCGAGTTTTTTTTTGGGGGGGCGTTATGTAGGGCTTGTTTCTTGAGGCTCGTGACTCAAGATTCTGGGGAGATGCGACGCAGCCCGAGTTACATCCGTGTGATGGTTCGCAGGCAGAGCCACCGAAGAGGGCGTCGTTCTCCACCCGAACGTCCCTTTGATCCCCTAGTTTCCTCGTCCCTTCGAGGCTTCGAGTACAGCCGTCCTTCGAACCCTCTTCCGTTCTGGGGTTCCCTTCAGAGCTCTGATTCTGCCGGAGCCAGGCCCGGGGATGGCCTTCGCTTCCGAGTGGCGGCGCATCCTTGTGGCGAGTTGTCGTGGCCGAGAGCTTGGCTTTCGCGGGAAATGTGTGGGTTTCGGATGAGGACACAGCAGAGGCCCGGGACTCTGAAGACTGCATCAGGGGGATGCCTTGTGAAGTAGCGGGCAGGCTGATCTTTCCATCATTTTGAGCAATCTTGCCCGACGAGAGCGGTGGGGCTCGAGAAGCAAAAGCCACGCGTCTGGTGCTCCTTGACAGATCGTAGAGATTTCCGCGCAGAGCCACAGCAGTCTATATATTAGTTCACAAGCAGCGAGCCAAGAGTCATTTCCAAAGCGATCGGACACTGCCTTCGTTCCTTTCTCGGCCGCTAACCGCTGCAAAGTCGGCAGCCTCCTGAAGTGCCGGCCTCAGCGCCTCAGTGCGACCGCTTTGGAAGTCTTGGAGGCTGATGGGCTGCAGGGCTGCTGTTGGCATTTCTCGCTCAGGTTCCGTGCGGTTCCGAGACGGTCTTCCCGCTCCCATAGCAAAGCACCTCGGCGAGGCACCGATGCCAGCGCTATCGTCAGGCTATCGTTCTCAGCCGAGAGGTTTCGTTTATTCCTGTTTAGGCCTGCCTGACCTCGTGATATCTTTTCATCCATATCCCTTCTTCCTGAAACACGCTTTAAAACAAGACACCTTGAATTTCTGTTGCGGGCAGTTTCGGTGAGTAGGAGGCTGTAGCATTGGACGGGAGACTTCGCACCGGCAGGCCGCAGGCCATGACGTTCGACTCGCGCAGCTCGGCCAGCTTCAAAGCAATCTGCTGAATGGACAGGCTTTGCAGCAATGCCCGAGTGCCGCGTGCGGGGTGCTGCTCGCTTCCTCAGGCTTTCGTGGCGCCTTCATCGCGGCGCTCAGCGGCGAGGAGTCGGAGTTTGCGAGCCCACGCGTCCTGGGAGTTGCCCAGAGCCTCGGCTTGCATCGAAGCGCAGAATCGCAAGCAGCAGAAGCGAAGCAGAAGCAGCGCCCCGTGAGAAGCTTCTGAAAGGTGGGCTGCCATTGTGGCGCTGAGCCTGCTCCTTGCGGCGCTGCTGCTTGCCTGGGGCCGCTGCTGTCAGAGGCTCCGTCCTTTGCCCTATGCCTCTTTCCCATCATCCGGCAGTGCATGAATGCTGCCAGGTGCTACAGATGGGTTCCGCCTGAGCTTGGTTTGCCACAAATTCCGCGCACCCGGGCCAGCCGCCAGGACTGAAGCCTGCCATCTAGCATTGGAAGCCTGCGACTTCAGAAAATTCAAGAAGCCGGCAGCTTTCGTGAAGCTATCTTGTCCACATGCGCCTGCCTCATGTGCAGCATCGGATATTTACGATGCCTGCGAGGGCCACTTCTCACTACTGCCGAACGCTGCAGATGGGGATGCGAGCCTCCAGCAGCCTGGAAGCACACCCGCCCGCCTCAAGGCTATTGCCCTTGCCGCTGCCCGGCTGCAGAGTAGATGAGCCCAGAAGCATTGCGAACCCGAACTGAAGCTGGCTGGGCCTGCGAGTGCTGTGCCACGGCCTCAGGCTTTCTCCTACGCATCCTTGGGCGTCGCCTGTTTCTGGGCCGCGCTGGGCGCAGGGCTGGCCCTGGAAGTTTTGCGGAAAGAGCAGGCAGGGGCGGAGGGCATCATTTATTTGTTGTGAGGGCGCTTCATGCAGAGGACGGCGGCCTTCCTGCTTTAGCGGCCCTGCCTCTCTCTCTCTCTCTCTTTCTCCCTCTGTCTCTCTGTCTCTCTGTCTCTACCTCTGCCTGTCTGTCTGTCTGTCTGTCTGTCTGTCTGTCTCTCTCTCTCTCTCTCTGTCTGTGTCTCTCTCTCTCTCTCTCTTTCTCTCTCTCTGTGGACTGACTAGCCAAAAAACCACAGTAGGATTCTTTTCGAATCCCAGCCCCTTGAACTACGGCACCTTCTCGACTTCTTTCTGGACGGGCTCTTTTTGCAGAGGATGGCGGGCTTCCTGCCCTGGCAGCCTTCGTTGCCTGCCTGGCGGTGGCGTGTCTGGCCCTGGCGGCCATCGCGTCGCTGCTTCTCACCTCCCTGAAGCACCTCCTGCCCGGAGCTCAGCCCTTGGCTGCGATGTTTCGGTTGTGAAGGATGGTTCGGATGCGAAAGGCGGCAGGAGGT